GCCGTTTCTTTATGTATTTGTCTTAAAAACGGGATATAATTTAAAACCATCCTTTGTCTACCGTCTACTGCTGGATGCTGTTGTTTAGTTGTTTGGAAGGATGTAATAAGATTCTTTATGATTTCCTTTTGGTATCCTTGTTGTTCCGCAATCTTTAGAATGTAGTTTANCCGTTTTTAAGACAAATACATAAAGAAACGGCCAAGACTAATGATTTCAGTATAGTATATCGACGCAATCCTACAGTTTTCAAGCTATTAAGAAACGATAAGAAGCATTATGACTGGAAATCGGCATCGGGAATCTACTCTATACCATTACACGATCAGCGTTTTAATTCGGATCTTGTCTATGTAGGCGCAACAATGCGCAAATTACAACAACGTATCAAGGAACATAAATATACGATTAATAAGAAAATTGATAACACCGTGCTATCGTCTTACGCAACGCAACACGACATCCAAGTCCATTGGGATCGGGCGGAAATTATTAAACCAACGACAAATTTACATACAATGAAATATCTGGAGAAATTAGAGATCTTTAAAGCACACAAGAAAACGGGATGCATCAACCATAGAGATGCGGACTCTTTACCTACCGCTTGGCGATCTTTTTACAAGAATTAATGTCTTTATTTATTTTTATTTATTAAGGGGCATTTTTTCGAATTAATTTTTATTTTTCATTTATTTTATCTACTTTTCTGTTATTTATATTTTAATTTCATATTTACGTTCTTTTTGTGTTTGATTTTATTCTATGTTATGGTAACTGAAGAAGATCGTTAAGAAACGGTTGAAAACGTTATTATATTATTAATTTTATTAGCTGGATTATTAAAGGTGTGTTTTATTATTATTATATTTATCCAGTTCGTTTGTTATATAAGGTGACAATACCATACGAGTAATAGAGACGCCATTGGAGACATGATTATATTAGGTGTGATTAGACAGCAGTCAGTGTAACCAAGGTGTAGCCAATTTAACAAATTTCTCACTACATCTAGCAGATGTTGAAATATTAAAGTAACTTTTTATTTTTAAGATATAAGTTTTTTTCATTATTTCAACACTGCTNTATATATATATATATATATACACATACATACATACATACATACATACATACATACATACATACATACATATACATACACTGGTCAGAAGTAGATGTGTATATTTTTGCTTATAGCTCTATATAAATGGTGAGAAATGACTAAACTCTTATTATGTATTAACTACAGTAAATATAGGCTTAAGCATTGAAGTTAATACTAATGTTGCTTATTGAATTGATATCAAAAACACTATTAAAGTTAGGCAGGTTCTGATTGTATTAAAACTAAGAAGATTTTGTTTGAAAGATTAAAATTTTTAACATTATCAGGTAAATACACACAATACTACAATAATTATAATCCAATTAATTTAAGGATTTTGAGATTTTCAAAAATGAGAGACTACATAGCATGTGAAACACATTTTGTTTATAGGATTTTAAAAGAATGCAAGTGAGATGGTTGAAATAAAACATTATTTTGCATGCTCATTTAACTGGATGACACTGATATTTCTCATGTAAACTGTATATAGAAAAAGATTTCCTGCATATAGAGCAGAAATGGACTTTGTTAAAGTGCAGTTTTGCAATTTATACTGCACTGGACTATGTCAATTACAACTTTTTTCCACTGATCTCTAAGAACATAAACAAAAAAATTGTACTTGACTTGAAATAATGCAATCAGATTTTATAAAGCACTTATTTAGTTTTGAAAATGGTCAAATGTGCAAAGTATGCAGAAAACTTATAAATGCATATGCTGTGTGTATTTTTTTAAACCTATATAAAATATGCATTATCATAATTTGATGCACATGGACCCAAATTGAGTTTATATTGAGGTTAAACATGACAGCATTTAAAGAATAACATGCATTTGCATATGAATCCAGTTATTACATGTAACCCATGATAAAAAGTAAACAACTCTTAATTAAAATACTAGAAACTGATCTGGTAGAGAAGGAATGATTTGTTGATTTGTATTTAAAAAGGTAACTTTAAAGATTATATATATTATTCTAAAATTTAGGATTCTTGTAGTTACATATGATGTCAACAAAAGTTTAGCTTTTGATTGCTATGTATATTACAATTGTGATCTTTCATTTGTGTAACTTACATACAGGATGTTAATAATTAAAATTCATATTTCAGAGAGATATAATGTCATTCTTCTCATTCTGAATTATATTTCGCATACAGATTTCTGTGGCAATGGAATTTTATTTAAAAAAAAAAATTATAAAAATGCAGCAGTAACAGCGGCACTGTTGCTACCGTAATGAACAACTCAAATGTCTAAAATTTATAATACACAATGTATACTGTATGGCTATGCAACATCATGGTTGATCTATTGGCGAGCATTGTTGACAACATACTGAAATTTTCAATCACTCATTCAACAATAGCATTCAGAGTTTTGGAGGTCAGCATATCAAGTTTGCTGTTGCATAACCACACAGCATATTGTGTGCATCATAAGTTTTGAGTCAGTTTGAATTGTTATGGTGTCACGTGCCATTTACTGTCCTAGCAGGAATTTTCGTAACTATTATTTTTCAAATAAAATCCATCACCACAGAAGTCTCCCTGTGAAATAACATGATTATACTGATCAGTTTTGAAGTTACATTTTTGAAACTTGCATCCCAGAGACATAGGTGATTCTGGTTGTTTGTAACAATCTTGTTTTTTTTTTTGAGGTTATGATTCTGTTAAGTTAATTATACGTGTTCAGGTTATCTGTGTGTGCAACATAGTACAGAATTTTAACCAATGAGATTGTAAAATTTTTTAAGTACAGATCACAAATGCAAAATTATAGATCCATGTGATAAGGAAAGCATGAAGCACATAAAACAAAAACACATCTCATATAATTATGTTTCTACACATTCTAATGTTTTGGGTAACGTCTCTTAACAAATAGAAATTTAAATAACTTAAGTCAGAAAGGTGTGTACTTAAGTAAGGAGAAATTGGATGGTAATATTTTGAAGAATACTTAAGAGACATATGTTTGGAAGTAACAGATATGATTAACAGCATATTTAATGGTTCAGTAATTGATGTAGAATAACCAAAAAAATTTGCAGTTAGTGGCATACCCAAATAGCTACTTAATAAATCAGAAGCATTATCTTTTATCTTGAAATATTCTTTCCTGAGATATAGAATGTTCTCTAATTGTATAAGGCAAGTATTCCAGTTGTCCATATTGGATGTAATTAAATTGAGGTTACAGATGAAAGACCGGTTGAAAGATGACTATCCACTCCGCCCTGGGAAATGAGAGACTCTTTGAGAGAAAAAGTTTAGAATGACATTTGGAGAGTAGTAGTGGTCTCTTCAGACATAAACAAATGTGTAGCCAATCAGTGACCTGCTTATGATGCAGACATATGAAGAGACAATGACCCTGGAAACTTTAGGTTGATCCTGTAATAGTAGTAACCCTAAGTTTGGTGGATCTTGCCATTATCTCGCATTAGTAGAAAGTATTAAACAAGTTTGTGATATCATGACTTACATTGCATATATAGTTAATATTTTTAATAACATACCTTTTCCTAAGAGTCTGAAGTGTATTGTATTGTACAGATGACAAAGTTCATATTTTTTACTGTACCCTATGAAATTTTGTTTTAAAAGTACAAATTTACTATGCTATCAGGAAACTATTCTAGTTGTAACTGTAAAACATGAAAACTTGCATAACTCGCATAGCTATAATACACGATATTGGTAAAAATGAATAGGATATTAAATTCCTCCAAAACATCTTAGATTGCAGATTATTCAAATCCAATTCAGACTTGAATGTTTTTTAGTTTGAATATTCAAGTTCTCCAAATGATGCAGTTATGTTTTTTACCTTGAAAATTCAATCTTTTTGTTTTATCATTTCTTATATACATTGTATATTTTTTTGCAATTTTAAACATTATATTTGATTTTGTTGGCTTAACTGATATTTCACTTTTGCACAGAGTAAAAGCTGAAATTTATGTAGATTTGAAATATTTTTTGTTTTAATAAATAAATTTGGCCTTTAGAAAAAAGTAAAAAAATAATTTTTGTTTTTATTTTATGAAGATGGTGCTTGCTTTTACACAATTTGTTGAAAGTATTTGTGTGTTTTGTTCATGCACACTCGAAATGAATTTTAAATGAAATGGTATTTTTTGTATTATTAATAAAAAAATTTTTGAACCTGCAAAAGCTGGAACTGTAAATAATAATCTAAAAACACTTTAAACACTACTTCCAGTGGTAGCTTCTTCAGCTTACAAATGTTTCTTGCCTCTTTAGTGGCCCTCTTCAGGTATAAGAAAAGTTCGATTGAATTCAAAAAATTGAATAAATTTCATTCTGTCAGAGACAGTTGTTTCCATATATATTGAAAATTTTTTTAAAAAGACAATGATCAATACCATTTAGTACAGGTTTAACAAATTGAAAATTCAATTCAAATTCAAAACATACAAAAACATTTTAAATAACAAAAGTTCTGGGTTAAATTTGAAATGGTTTTTTATGATTTGAATCTGAATGATATTTTTGAATAAGATGGACCTGAATCAAATGATGTTAGTTGCCAGCTTTTGAAAAAATTTTTGTTAAATGTGTAGCAACTGAACTGGCTCTCATTGGGTGACATTTATTTAATATTTTGAGTTCAATTGAGCTCGTTCTCACACTTGAAGTAGGCCAAGTAAGAAGGTGAAAATGTTTGTATGCTTAAGAAGCTGTCTACCAAAAGTAGTGTTTGAAGTGTATTTTTTTAGGGTAAATGAAATGATATATTAATAATAATAGTAATAATAATTTGAATTATAGCTACATTATTTAGCTTATGCCTATTTAAAAATTTTATATTATAATTACAGTTCTTTTTAATTAGAAGTTTCTTATTTTTTCAGGTGCCAGTATTCACAGATGGTCCTTCTCAAGGTCCAACATTACCTCCAGCGTCCACTCAGTTAGCCATTCCAACAACAGTTGGGTTAGCGGATACCCAACCGCTACACACAGGCCCAGGCCCCTGTGATAGCCAAGCTTTGGTACCATGTTCCATGCCTTCTGAACCTTCCACTTCAAGTTGTGTTTCTCAAGATAATAATCAAGGTACTGCTTCATTAATAATTTAATGTTTACATATGCTTAGTTATTTCAAGAATGTAAATAGGAACAAAATTAAATATTTAAACATTTGATACTTAAATTGTCTAATTGATTCAGTATTGGAAGTAAATACCAATATAATAAAACAGTATTTAAAGCAGAAAAATTCAATAGATCACAAAATTATTGTCTAGTGATCTAGAATAAATGCTTTTGAACTGTACACTTCCTATTTGAGAATTTGAATTTTATATATATTTTTTCTGTGGCACATAATATATGAAATGTTGTTTAAATCTTGATTTTGAACTGTTATAGCCATATTTGTTCCATTTTCAAACATGCATTAATGAACACTTTCTAGTTCCAGTTTGTAATTTGGACTCTTAATCTACTAGAAATATTGTTTGGCTTATATTGTTGAATGTGATGGAATTAATAAAATTTAATTTTCATAACATAGTTTCCAAAATTTAAATAACTTATATTTAATTATTCATATAATTATAGTTATTAGTGATGAGTACTGTGTTTATGAATCTAGGAAAAATTATAACTGATATTTGATAATTTTAAAGAAAAACAGAATAGTGTAATAAACTTTTCAAAAATTCTAATATTTCCAATCTAAAGTTAATGCGTGGTTACTATATTTGCCTTATTATTCTAGTTTAAAATTTTGTTTAGGAAAGATTGTAACTTAATTCGATAAAAGATTTTCTGTTTACCTTTGTTTCCATAGGAATATGTTTTAGTCTTATTTATTGTATGTGTAAAATACTACTAAATATATGATTTGATTTTGTTCATAGTTAAAGTCAAACATTTCAGACTTTAGTTGAGGATAATGTCAATATATGGGGATGAGTTGAAAAGTTGAGATTTTAATAAAGGGCAGGCAAATAATGCATATTAATTTGACTGTTTATGTTGCAACTGACAATTTATTTTTGAATTGGATTGTTTTTATATGATGGCAGTTTGAATAGCCATTAGCAACTATTGGGAAAAAAAATTGGAAAATATTAAATATTGTGCAGTGATAAAATTCTTCATGAAAAAAGAAATGTGCTTTTACAGAAGTTTGATATGCATGGTACATTGGATGAATCGTTCTCATTCTACAGTACATATGAAAATGGGAAAGAATAAGCTTGGAAGTTATTGTTATTTTTGTTTGTTTAAATTAAAAACCAGTACCAGAAATGGTCAACAAAGTTTAAGACAGATTTAGAAGCTTGGCAATTGTAGGCTTCAGAAATAGCAGAAGCATTTCATCTTTGGGCTTCTCACAGGTATCTTTACATTTTATATAAAGAATTGGAAATACTCAACTCATCTACAAGATGGATTCCATGCTTGCTTATGAACAAAAACAGATGATATATTGGATGCCTTAGAATTATTGTTACTGTTTCAAAAAAATTAACTTTTTGTTTTGCTTTGAGAACTGATAAACTTGTATTCAGTATAGTACACCATAATACAAATAATAGTGAAACTGTGGACATAATATGAAGAATCTGCAATTTAGTAAGCAAAATCTTTCCTGCCAAACTTTTTGGCAGGAAAGATTATGGCATCCATTTTTTGGGAGGCAAAAAGCTATCTTGTAATAGATTATTTAGCAAAAGGAAGAACATTTAAGTGGAAATTATTATACAAGACATGAGTAAATTAAAGTTAGCTATTACCATAATCTAGTGCTGCTGACATCCAAAAATTTTAAGAAAACCTTTGATACACTAGAACATCTCTCTTACTTGATTTGTCACCATCAGATTTTTCTTTCCTAAGATGATTTCTTGGAAGGGTAAAATTTAGTTCCACCAATGAGCTGATACAACTGTGAATGTCTAGTTTGAATAGCTAGAAGAAGCATACTTAATGGGAGTATAAATAAATTAGAACATGATTGGAATAATTATAGACCTGGATTAAAAGTGACAGCAAAAACTGGATGGGATTAATATAAACATGCATAAAAAACCAGTAATCCAGTATGAAAGTAACAATTTATTATTAAAATGAACATGTTTTTTTATTGTCTGTAGTGACCAACTTCAGTTTTTAGTATTGCAAATAGAACAGATCTAAAAACACAAAATTTAATTATATTGGAACTCATAAATATAATGTAGAATGTTGCATGTGCAAAAATGGTAATTACAATAAAAAATTTACATAAAAACAAACAACAGAGTAATATACAGTGGTACCTGAAATTCAAACATATATTTGCTCCACGATACGAACAAAAACTCACCATACGACGTTACATTAGTTCGCAGCGCCATTTTTTATTCATTTCTGTTCATCAGTCTCAGTCCGCGTGTTTGCTTCGTCGTGGAAGGATCTCACTTGATAAAGGAAATCTTGAGGTATTATCAGAAAGTGACTGATTTTATTGAAAAGAAACATCCCAAAAAGGTTCACACTGGCCGTATTGCTGCTCGGAGTAATGACATTTGCCTAAGTCATTTTAGAAACATTTTAAAAAGTAGGCAAAGCCAAACCTCTGGATAGATATTTTACCAAGCGACCTCTATCCGGTGGAAGTGAAGGAAAGAAAGCAAAAAGCATTGAATAAGAATTAAAAAAATATATGAAACAGAAAAGATTAAAAAATTAGTGTTAAGTTATTTTTAAGTTATTGTTACATTATGTTATGTAAGTTAAGTTTTAGTATCATTTCCCTTCTCCCTCTCTTCCTCCACCAGTTTACACCTCCACCGTCGTCTATCCTCAAAGGTAAAGTGCAAATAAAACCGCATTTTTTAAATCAATTATTATTCAATTATGGTTATTTATACATTTACAACTACAAAATGCATTTTTCAGTGTTTTCCTTACTATAGTTATTTTTTTAAATGTACTACTTAGCTTAAATTTGAGTGTGTTTTTCGTGTTAGAACGAATTATTTGGTTTTACGTGTAATCGTATGGGGAAAAAATGATTCACTTTACGACATTTTCATGATACGATCTCAGTTTCGGAACGGATTAATTTCGTATCCTGAGGTACCACTGTATATATAATAAGTACAAATAATATAAAAATAATGTAAAATAAACATAAACATTTGAGATAGGACTTTACAAATTTTCATAGACTTTAGTTTTAGTAATAAATTGTCACTCATACTGGATTACTGGCTTATGTGTATATTTATAGAGTTGAAAGGTTGTTGAAAATTAAAAAAATTATCTTTACACTATTAAATGTAGACAACTAAATTATTCAACTTTTCCATCTTCTCCATAGATTATTATAATGTCTCTTATTTTTATAAACACAAATATATATAAACAATTTTATTATACTTTTGATGGGTGTGAAAAATGATATTAAAGGTTACTATCATTGCTGTTGTATATATATTTGTGTGTACAAACCATGGCAAATAAGTGATGTGAATTGATTACATGAAAGGATCATGGACATAAAATATATCAGTCTGTGTGAGAGTGAATTACCTAGGTTGTAATATAAAGAATGCAAATGTTTAGAAATAAGGATCAGAGCAGTGATGGATATTGGGATAATTGGCAAGGCAAAACTATTTCTTGTTTTTGATTCTTGCACATTGTTTATAAAATTTATAATTAAGAAATAAAGTTAATAATTTATAACAAGAAGACAGCATTGCCTGCTACTAGTATTTAATAATATTAATAAGAATTGTAACTAAAAATTTGGCAATATTTGATATACCTTTTCATAAATAAGTAATACACAATATCAGAATTAATCCATTATAAAGCAGTTTTACAATGGATTAGATTAAATTTTGTGTTAGAATTTTAAAATATTTACATCTGAAGTTTTGATTTCTTAGATATCAAGCCTGGTGCCTTGGTGTCATTTGAAGAACCACCAATATCTCCTGTGGCTGGTCCATCGCATCAAGATAGTAGTAATTCTATGATGATGTACATGGATACTTCAGGAGTGCCTGCAATACCTGGTCCAAGTAGCTATCAGTTAGATAAACAGCCATCACAACCACCTCAACAACAGCAACCACAAGGTAGGCACAACATTTATTTAAATTGACATACAAGTGTTACTGAAAATGGGGAAGAGAGGCATTTTTTTGATCCAAATTATAGGAATTTCATATTTTTTCTTGTTTCATTGTTTATGAATGTATTAAGTAATTAAATTGTTATTTGTAATTAATAAACATTTTAATATTCTAATATTTTAAGTAATTGTATGAAGGTATTACTATTTACTTTTTTAAAATGACAATAATCAATACTCATTCAAATAATAAAACTTTTAATATTCTAAATGTAAAGTTTTAAATATATTTATATATATATACATATACACAATATGCATATATATAATTAATTTAAATTAACAAATGAAACATTTTAAGTGAAAATGAGATATTGGTTATACTTAGTTAAACAGTAGTTTAAAGTTTTTAGCTACTCCCTGGATCTTCTCCATGTTTGGTTTCACAATTTTTAATTTCAAAATTTTTCCAATGTACACATACATATGAGTACTTTGGGAAAGAGCTGGAATTATGTATCTGTATATATTGATGTAATTTATTTTGAATTTATATATTTGAAATTACCCTCTATATACTGTACAGTGTTTGGAGGGAAATGGTGTAAAATTCAAATCTTTTTATATGATTGAATAATCCATATCAGAAATTTGACATTGAAAATAGTTGAAAAAATATCTCAATAAGCAACATAAATGTCTTTAAGGTTCTAGAATATAGTCAGTATATAAGTTAAAAATGAACCTTGAGAATCAGGCCAAGAAAAACAGATTCTAAGAAGGAATATTAAAAGGGTCATGAAGGCAAATTATTATGATTTTGTAATTCAATCATTTTTTGAAAACAGAATTTGAAATGAACACAAGAAAAGAATCAAAAATTCAAAAATAACTGTTTTGAATAAATTTACCATTTTTTATATAAATAATGAAAGAATTAAAAAAGTGAAATAAAATAATTTTGTATGATTAGCAAGATTGTTTAGATGCTTGAATTAATCCAGTTGACAAATATTAATTAAAGTAATATTGAATGCAGTAAAACTTCTATATTTTTGTAGTAGTCAGTTGTATTTAAAAAGTTTACTTTTATTTTGTTATAAAAATAATTTGCTTTATTTAGTAGAAAGTTTATCAGTTACTTTTATTAATGATACTGTTATGTAATATAAGGATAAGTGTAGTTTGTTCCATTTTCCTCACCAAACACTGTGCTGAACTCAGGTAAGTGACTTGTTTGATAAAACCATTAAATAAATGATCACTGTTAGTTTTAATTAAATTAGTGGGCATTTCTGTATCAAACTTATTTAGTGAAATATGTCTTAGATTTTTATGAATATTATTGCTAGTGTTGTGGTCACATAAAATAGCTATATGAATAAGGGTGACATTTGATAATTATAAGCAACAATGCTGCATTCTAGAATATTACAACAGATAACATATTTACTATTTCTTTAATGGGAGGCTGCTGCCTGCTCTACAATTTTATGTAGATGTTTTGTAGAGTTGTACTATATTTTGTATTGCAAATGGAAAATAAATATTTATTTATTCTGTGTGATGAATTATTTCTTGTGAACATACATTCACATATTGATAAATATATATACTGTATAATATCTAGAAATAAATACAAAGTATGTTAGTAGTGTTGTTATTGTGATATCGCAAGTGAATTAGTGTGCATTGAGTTGATTCTGATTCTACTGTCAAAATAATTGGACTTCAGAAATTGTGAAGAATACATGAATAAAATTAGGTGAGTAACATTTCTGTTATAATAAACTAATTATTTTTTAATTTCATATAAATATGTATAACTATAATTTTAAGTTAACTGCAAGGTAAAAAGTTTTAATTTCAATAAATGTTTAATAAGAATAATAAAAGGTTTTGAAAGGTAAGTATATAATCTGTTTATTTAATTTTCCAAAAAAGTGTTATATATAGCTTGAGTTTACATTAATCTTGGTATACTATGTATGCAATTGAAAAGTAGTGTTATATTGCTATGCTGCTTAAGTTCTAATTATGTAAAAATATGTTATACAATTTTATCTTGTATATTTTGAATTTGTATGAAAAGTATACGAATAAAAAATTTTTTATTTTTAAGTTGTGGTTAAATTTATTTGGAGTTTTGCCTTTTATTAAATATAAAACATCGAATAGAGAGAGATATAGATTTATAGAGAGAGAGTGAGAGAGAGAAAGAGAGATAGAGGAAAAAGTGATAATCCTAGTGTTTTATAACAATTGAAATTGATAAAAAAATCAGTGTAGTGTTTACGAGCAAGTCATCTGAAAGATATGTGAAGTGTATATTTTACTAGTGATTTAGCAGTGTGTGAGATCAGTGATGTGTTTTCCAATAAATGAAGAATTTGTTGCAACAGTAATAATATATTATTTGAAGAAAATTAAATGGTAAGTTAAAAGTCTTTTAAGTTTATTTTTTTTTTCAATTAAAGTTTTATTATAAGATTTGTAGAGATATATTTTCATATTATACTTAATATATTTCATTAATTATAATATATTCACAACTAATGACATAATCCCCTCGGTTTTGAAAGTAAGTGAAACATGATCTTTAGATACATGTGTGTGAATGACCTGTGCTTGTTTAAATATTTAATCAGTTATTTGGTTTGGCTCTTAGGTAAGTTTAGTTTGGTAAAATTATAAGTGTTTAAAACAATAAGAATAAATCAATTCTATTATAGAGATTGAGTTTTTTTTAAATAAAATTTTGTTAAGTATACTTTAGAATTTTTTAAATAAGTATTTGAAACAAACAATTAGATTAAAAGTGTTTCCCAAATGGTAAGTTTCATGAATAGGTTTTAATTTAAGATTATTTAATCCTTAACAAAATATTTGAAAATGTTCATTTTTAGACAGGAAATAAAACTCAAGGTAAACTGTTAAAATGAACCAAATAAAACATTAATTGAATGAATATCATTAGTCTAATAATTTTTGTCCTTATGCATTTAAAGTTATTTAATAATTTGATCTACTGATTAAATTTTGTATTCTTATTGTATGTCTCACCTTTATGTAACAAATATTCTATTTGTTTGGTGAATCAGTATTTAATTTTATAGATGAATGAGAAGAAAAAAGGTAAATACATTTTAATAAAATTGTTTTACTTAAGTATAACATATTTTAAAAATATATTTATAAATATATACATGTTTTTTAAAAATATGTATATATTTTATATATATAATTGCTTTTTATCTGGTAAGTATGACTAGCAAAAAAAATATTGAACTAATCAGAAAATTTTATTGCATTTTTTGAAATGTGATACTTTAAACCCTCCATTAAAGAAATTCCATCAAAATTGAAAAGTTAAGAGAAGTGAGTTTAATTTTATAATTAAATGTAATTATATAATTTGTACTGTCACTAATGATGATGATTTAGTTAATTTCAGCAAATATACATCAATGAAATAATTTATTAACAATTGATATTTATGAAAATTTCTCGAGTTTTTAAATAAATAAGTAAATTATTAGAGCATTATGGAAAGTGCAGTTTGTTTTTATTGAGAATCTTCTGATGCTTGATTTTCTGATATGTTTTTTGAACATAGAAAAAAATTATAGTTTATTATCTAAAATTAATTTTAAAAGTTTACAGTAGAGCATAATATTGGCTTTGTTGTTGTTCTTTATGGAATACCAGTATTCTTCATTGATTATTCAATCTCAAATTTGAATCTTCAAAATTGTTTCTCAAAAACAGGAAGATCTTCAAAATTGAGAGCAATGAGAGAGATGCATGATTTTACCTACATTATTATGTATAAGGACAAAATGTTTGTTTTGAATATCTTAGATGGTAAAATATTTTATGATACTAATGAAAAGTTGAAATTTTAAGAAATAATTATTTTAAATATTTAAATTTTCAAGTATATATTTTGTTCACCAGTTTCCAGAAAATTCTGTTTAATGTTGACTTTACTAAATACTGTATTGTGTTGTATTATTTGATAGGAAATGCTTATTTGTCATAAATATGATAATTTGCTATTATCAGAAGTTAGTGAACAGAATGAAACCTGTGACATTTATTGTTTACTAGATGTCAACATGTAGTATTAAATATTGTTAATTGGCTTGATAATTATTAAAAAAAACTGTCAAAACAATTCAGTAAGTTTCTTAGCAGAGTTGAAACTAAATATTCTCTTTCTGAAAGTTGTTTGAGTTATATTAGTTTTAAAATTTTATTTTCTTAGGGGAAATCATTAAATTTTATCTTGTAACTGGAATCAAGCATCAGAACTTAATCTAATAAAAAATACTTTTGTATATTTCATAATCTAAATATTTTATTTTTGTTTCCAAAATACTAGTTTATGGAAACAAATCATTTAAAATGAAGGATACTTGAAACTTTTTGAAATTAGACTTAGTTTATGTTCAGAGGAAATTTAACTTTGCCTTAATTTGAATCTGTTGTAGACATCTGTTGATTTAGATAAATTACTTCATTGCTATTTAACAGTTCACAAAATATTTTGTAAAATCTCCATTTGAAATCACTGCTATTATTTTATTTTAGATATGAAATTTATTTTGATAGAATGGAATCACAATATTATTTTTATTACATTTTTAAAGGGACTTTCTAATCTTGAACATTAATACTGATAGAATTATCAACAATAAATGTGTAAGTAGTTTATTATTTAGTGTTTTTTCATTTTATTGCACTCATCACAAAAATTTCGTTGTGTAATGATTTTATAAATTTGAGAACAAAGTGAAATATCACATAGAAAAAATAAATTTTAATTTATTTCATTTACGTTGAACAATTTTGTTTGTGAAACGATTTTTGTGTGTTTGATTTTAAGTAAATTTTATTTTTGCAATATAAAATGAATGTGCAACAGTAATTGTTTTCTAGGTAAAATAATAATAATTTGCTTTATTGAATGCTGAACTTCTGTATGAAAATTAGTCATATAAT